ATATAAACATAAATAGACTGTCAAATGAAAAAAGTATTCAGGTGAGAGTGAAAAAAAATTAAAAATTACTGTATATTCCAGCCGCAATATCTGTACAACCACAGTAGCTGTTTTAATACTCACACTTCTAGTGAAATCTCTCAAGTGTTAGCTTTATTTCGATACCAAGATTATTTAAGTAGAGTTTTTAAATGCTGAGACACATTCAGTTACATTTCAGCAAGGTATTCTGAGCAAAAAAATTTAAGAAAACCCCTTTGGGCTTAAGAGGTTAAATACACGTACCCTGGCACTGGGTGCTGTCTGCAGACGGCTCAAAGCCAGCGACGCAGGTGCACGAGCCCACGGGAACCATCCACTCACCGTCCCCGTTGCAGTACAGCTTCAGGGGGACAGAGAGCTCCATGGCGTTGGCTACGCACGCCCCCGGAGCGATCACCAAGGAAGTGGCTTCCGCTCCCGTGGCGGTCTCGGGGAAGACGGCAAAATTGGCGATGGTGGTGGAACACTTCTTGAAGAAAACCCTGACGGAGATGAGGGACATGCAGGCCCCCAGGTCCTGGAAGGCCAGGTAGAACCCCGCCTTGGAGAGGGGGCCGAAGCTGCGCACTTTGGTGTTGATCCTGCCCGCCTCGAGCAGGGAGAAGCTCTCGTCTGGCGCGATGGTGTCCACCTTCACGTACGGGGTCTCCCTCCACAGGGGGCTGGTGTCCGTGGCCGTGTCCCCCTCGGACTCGTAGTAGAACAGGTTGAAGGTCTCTTTGCAGGAGCCCGGGATGTTGGGGATGCTGGCGCAGTCGCGGACGGAGAACTTGAGCTCCACGTAGACGCGCAGCACGCCGCGGCGCGGGACGAAGTCGGTCCTCAGCCAGTTGTTCTGGTTGGGCTGCTTGACGTTGCACACCTGGTAGGTTCTGATCGGGCTCATGGAGTCGTCGTAGCCGCTCACTTCCTCCCACTGTGGAAACAACGAGAAGCACAGGAGGAGGAGGTGAAGGGAAAGAAATGACAGCGGTCGGCACGGACGGCGCAGACGGGGAAACAAAGACAGCTCAGTTCTGAGGTGCAGCAAAAAAAATTAAAAAATCCTGCATCTAATATATTGTTTGTTGACATTATCTAATGCTTCCTAATGCAAACTGTTCAAGCATGGAAGATGTTCAAAACAGTCCTGTGGCGCCTGCTATGAAGAGATTACACAAAACACACACACACATTCCTGCAGTGTGCTGCGTACACCAGGCCTGTGAGGAATAATTTGCAGCTAAAATGCTTCTAATTGCATGAATCATTCAGAAAATTCCAATCATTATGGACTATTAATAGATAACATTTCCCATTAAAACACATTTCACACATTCTGATGGTTTGACTCGTTCTGATGCCAATCGCGTGCCGGAGGTCTGCAAGAAAAAAAAAAGAAACGAGGGGGTGAGTTTTTCAGCTGTGATTACACTGAATGTGTTGAATCCAAGCTTTATGAAAATCTATCCTCAGGAGATAAAACAGGAAGTGGAGGGACACCTGTCTGAGTTTTTAATGGTTTTCTCCTTAACAGTCACCCCTGAAACCCCTTAACAGCTTTTTGACTTTTTTTTTTGTTATATGTAAGGGTGTCATGCTAAAGGGAAGAACCGGAGGAAGTCGTCTGACACCCTGGTTTTCAAATTAAAAGCCCCCGGTAGTATCTGGAAATGTCTGCCCACAGGTGGAATAAATACTGGTAAAGCAGGGATGCCCAAAGTGTGGCCCGGGGGCCATTTGTGGCCCCTGAAATGATTTTGTGTGACCCCTGACTTCAGTTCAAGAAT